AGTATCACATTTATATTAGTTTCTAATCTAAAGAATATAAAGAAATAATGAATGTAAAAGATAGCATGACTATTTATTTAAATGATTAGGGAAAGAATTCCCAACACAGGAACTTTTATTTTACCATACATACACTGAGGATTTGTTAAACCTACAAGTATAGAAGAGCCTAAAACAAGTATGATGTCATTCAGGTACAGAAACGTCTGAGATGGAGTTGTTCCAGGCATGGAACAAATTTGCACATAGAATATCTTGCAAATTGCTAAAAGTTCCCAATTATTTATTGGGAACTTTTATATATTTTTATATATTCATATATACTTTATATACTCATTCACTAAACTAACAATTGTGTATATATAATTTCTTAAAGCTGACAATTGTTAAATGCTAGGTACTGGTAATCTATCTCATAGTGCCATTTGTATAATCATCCCATCTTTCCTTCCTCAGCCATCACCCATCCTATCCTATTTAAATCTACATTAGCATCTCCATGCATCTGGTTAAATGAGCTGTGGTTCCTCAAAGCTTATGCCTTTTAATAAAATCTGTTAGCCTAGAAAGGTGCTACCAGATTTTGGATATCATGGATTAATATTGCCTATAATTAACCATTTTAATTGGCTAAAGTAGCATATTACTTTGTTCCAAATTTTTAAGCAAAGAACATTTTGAAAACCAGAAACAAGTATTTAACATAAAAATATGTTCAATTAATTTAAAAATAGGGTTTTTTAGGTCTCAGTATCATTCTAAAGACTTCTACAGCTGAAGTCAGATAATACATGCCAGATTACATCATTGACCTAAAGAAACTATCTGCAATGTCTATGAGAGTTGCCTCATAGAGTAGATGTGCACCATACAAAAATTAACATTAAATAATGAAAAAAGAAAACCTCTTCTATATTCCATATATATCTACATATTCTACGGAGAGCTAAATAAATATTATTTGTTAACATATACTCACATAATCATCTTTCTTCGTTCCATAAGCAGCTATGTAGTCTGCATGTTTTTCTAACAGTAATGTTGATGGAGCATCATTTTTTATTATGACATCTTTTTGTGGTGTTCCCTTAAAAATGTTATGGTAAAACTTATCAAAAAACTTGTTGCAATCAAATTACATAATAGAGTTTCCCAACTTATGTTCAAACAATGAATTACATATATTTATTATAATTAGTAAACTAAATTTTAAAATGCTAACATTCATAGAAGTAAAAAAAAATCTGGATACAATAATAATGTAAATTTTACTGTACATATTTTCCTACAGGCAGAAAAAAATAAATTTTCTCTTAAGCCATTTATCAACATTAGTAAAAAGATACATATTACATAAATCTGTCAGCAACAGAGAACTATACTATGTTCATAAAGGTTAAACTGTTTTTCCCACCAAGATGGCCACCTAGTTAATGAATGAGTGGATGTGATTGACCATTGGTTGCTTCTTTTATTTTTTAACAATTTACTATCTTGCTCACAGTTAATTTTTTCTCAGGGGACATACATTTTAGTTATCTCATTCTAGTTCTTTCTCTTGATGCTGTTTGTCCCATGGTAAACTCTTTTGACTCTGGCCATTTTGAAGTTAAGCACATGGCATTCCACTTTTCCCTTAACGATTTTGTGGGTGAAGAGGCTAAAAAACAACATGCCCAGCAAATCGAAAAGTTTAGGATTTAATTCGCAGATCGCCAAGGCTTTTCTTTTTAAACCAGAACAAAAAAAGTTATCAAAGCAATTGCTTAAACTACATGCTACGTTTTGGCTTTTGCACAACCTGAACAGTCTCATCCTCCCCCACCCTCTCTATATATACAGAGAGAAATCCCTGCCCTATATAAACATTGCTGTACTCACCCAGCAAGAAGTTAAGGAAAATTGCCAAGGTACCTCGCAAATAGCTAGGGGCTACGACTTGTGGACTATAAAGGAAAGCGCGCAGCATTTTCGGTTTAATCATCAATTGTTACCGTGATGGATAGCCTTTTTCAGCAGATTATGTGGGAGGGGGGAAAATGGCACCTGGGAAAACGTGGCTCCCCTAAGCAGCCGTGACCAATTTCTCGCTCGCCAGCAAATACAAATCCCGGCCAAAGACCGCGAAAAGGGCTGGTTTTCCCACCCCCAAGCTACCATCTCAGCCTCGGCCTCAACCTCAACCCTTCGCGGAATGGCCAACGGGCCTAACAAAGGGGGCTCCGCCGACTATTTTCCCTCCCCGAGGAAAGCAACAGAGGGGTGCGGGGAGGAGGGAGAGAGGCGGCAGGAGCAGCGAGGGCGCGAAAAGCGACAAGAGCGGGAAAAGGAAGTGGACACTCACCATAATGGTACATCGGCGATAGCTGCTCACGTGATTCCCATACGCATGCGCATCACTCACCGGAAAAAAAAAAAGTAAGAAAAAGAAGTCGATTTCCGTCCGGTGTTCCGAATGGATCCGGTGGAGCTGGCTAAGAAGTTCCTGTACAGAGAAAACTTTTGTTTCCGCGGCGTTGTTTTCATTTTTATTTTATTATTATTATTTTTAATCAACAGCTGTACGGCGAAAGCTACTTATTGAAGCAGAGGAAGGAGTTTGGTGCTTGTTTCTATTGAAAGAAATTATTCTGAGACGTTCTTTTTATACTGGGGAACACTAAATTGGGGGGTTATCAATTTCATTTAATAATCTTATCTGGTTTCTATCTTTATAGAAGGTAGATATTGGTAGTGGGGGGGTGGGGTTCGTGCCTTCTTTACAGGGTATCGACTTAACGACTGTAATCAAGCCCAAAATTTCTCTCTGTTTGGGAAATTGAGTCATTTGTTAAGTGAACGTTGTCCCTTTTAACGACCTTTCTTGACAGTTAAGTGCAGTTATTAAGTTAGTAACAGGGTGGTTAAGTGAATCTGGCTTCCCAGTTGACTGTTTATCAAAAGGTTGCAAAAGGTAATCACATGATCCCAGGACATTGCAACTATCATAAATATGAACCAGTTGCTAAGCATCTGAAGTTTGATTATGATATCCTGGGGATACTGCAACAGTTGGAAGAGTGAAAAACGGTCATGCCATTTTTTTTCAGTTCTGTTTAAACTTTGAATGGTTACTAAATGAACTGTTGTAAATCAAGGACTACCCTTGACTTGCTTTTGCCCTATTCCTGATTCCCACCTCCTCGCCTTTGTGGTTTTAAGGTTGAATCATGCAAGATCATTTTCTTAAAATGCCAAAAGGAAATAAAAGTGATATTACTTATATAATTTAAAATTTGTTCTCCATAGAAGTCCTACAATTAGAAAAGCAAATTAAACAGAGGACTCAAAAACAGACTTGTTCATTTATTGAAGAAAATTATCCAAAGGTATATATTTCTGTGTGGCAAAAGTATATAAATCTCACCCTCATTTGATGGTGAAATTAGTCAGGTGTTTCAATGGGATGGTAATTGGATGTGAGTGTGGGAGATCCTACCTTAGCTCAAGAGTAGATTCAGGTTCTTCACTATCAAAATGAGATCTTCATGACAGGTATACATAATTGTGTCACAGCTGGAAGAAAGATTTCTGAGGATCTATGAAAAATAGCTGCTGACACTCATCAGCCTAGGAAAGGTGACAAAACTATTTTTGAAGAAATTGGACTCCACCATTACTATTAGGCAGACTGAGTACACAGGGAGGACATTCAAAACCATTGTTATCCTCTGTACCATACCTTCATCCTATTCTGGATAGGGGGAAAAGTATGTCATCTGAAAATCAGTCTCAGTTCCTTACTTTGGCTCCATGTCAAAGTCTGCAGTGTTGCTGCCCTCACAATAGTTGTTATTGCATCTATTGAAGTACCCATGATGGCTTCGTTGATAGGCAGGTAGGGAAACATAACAATCTGTGCTTAGCCTGGGCACTTCGCAGATCTGGGTAACAATAAGTGTTGTCTACTGTTTTCTGATTTAAAAAAAGGTATTCAACAAGGTTCACATTCCCCAGATTGAACCCCCACCAAGGGGAGGAAAAGCTATACAAAAGAGGTATAGCTCTTCAGCAGCAAGTTACTTTGTCCTTACTGTTAGGAATGTAAGTCACCTAATAGTTAGTTGGGTTGGAAAATATATAAACCAGGATAGACATTTTAATACTGTCTCTTTAAGGGAATGCTAAAATGGTAATTGGGTGTGATTCCTCAAACTGCTGTAAGATGGAGCCAGAAACCTGGATTGTTCTGTTTCCTAGAGTGTTGCCGTTCCTACATTTTCCTATTGACTGTTACTGATCATCATTAGTCTTGGATTTGATGTAAGTCTGTTACTGAACTGTTTATGATACTGGACTTTGTTATTTGGATTATCGCTGGACTGAAAACTGACTGCTTTAACCTTGAATGACTTGGACTGTGTTTGTACTTTGCTTAACTGTTTTACTGGAAGTAAAAACCTACATTTTACTATACAATGTAGCTGTGTGCTGTTTGTGTGTTATTCTTCACCACTCTCACTACGTCTCCCTGTGTACGCTCATTCTCCTAACGGGGAATTACCTCAACACTTATCCCCCTTTGACCAAATGCAATAGATGGGAGATAATACTGCACAAAAATGTTCGATCAGGAGGTTTTCTGGCATTTTCCAAAAGAAAATGGCAATCTTCTTCCAAATAATCTTAATCCAGCAAGATTGCTGTGCTAATGTTCTCAATGAACAGTAAACAGGCTAGAGGTAAAGAGCCTATATAAGTAAAAACTTTCAGTGCTTGTATAGCTCTGCAAACATAACTTAAGTATATTCGTCTTCCTGTTATAAATCTAATGTTATTTTAACAGATTTCCACTGGTATGATGGAGGCTTTTTAAAAATAAATGAGGACCCTAGGGCTTGTGAAGGGTGGGAGAAGAGAGAGGAAAAAAAGAACATTAGCAAATAATGTTTTATTGGGGAAATAAAATCAAGCCCAAATACATTTTTTTAAATTTTCCATTTGGTTTTGCTATTTTTTAAAACTTCCATATGGTATTCGCTAAACTTTGGGAGCAGTACCAAAGTAACTATATACATCCATTATAATAAAAAGGTCATATTTAAGCATATAGAATTTTGGCTCATTAGTAATTTGAAATCACAGCTCATAAGAATACCATAAATATAAAATCATTGGGAAAAATTGCATTGCATAACTATATCATATTTGATACGTTTATCATGTCCTCGCAACAGCAATTGTGAAAGGAATTTTGCATTCTCAAGTGATGTGATGTATGGGGGTGCATGAAAGGTGCTGCATGGATCAGGAACAGTATGCGAGGTGCCAGGAGGGGTTGGTAAAGGTGTACAAAGTGTTCATGCAGCTCAAAGGGTGTGCACGGGGTATGGATCAGAGGATAAGTGGCTAATGCGAAGCGAGTGCACAGAGGCTGGGAAACTGATAAGAAACACCTCAGCAACTTGCAATCGTCCCTTCCATCTTCTCCATTGGCCTTCTGGGGAAGCCAGCAGGAAAGATTGCTGGCAATCATGATTGTGGGATGCATGTCAACTGACTGTAAGTGTGAACTGATTGTCAAGCACCCAGATTGTAATCACATGACTAGCAGGGTGCTAGGATGACCAAAACTCCAAGAATTAGTTGTAACCACCATTCGTTAAGTGGCATTGTAACTTGGAATTGTTGATTGATCAAAGATCAAATAATACCTATCAAGGAATACCATAACATTTAAGGTACCATTATCTCTCTTCTTTTACAACACCCTCAAAAATTTATCCTAGAGAGTTGAAGTAGATTCCAAATAGTGGAGCTAAGGCATGGGAAAGGAAATTGGGATAGATTTTTTTTTTTGCATTTTTCAATAAGGAACTTTCATTAAATTTCATTATGTTCTGTAAAACAAGAATAACTTATATATTCTTTATGAATCCAACTCCAGGCAATACAACTAATTTATCTGCAAAAATATTTTTAATGTAGTCAATATGTAATATGCAATACAGATCTAACAACATCTAATTTACACATGGCTCCCAGACTTCAATCTGCTATGAAATTATTCATCTAATCTATGTCAGTGACCTGTTCAACTACAAAAATCCAAGGCACTTTAAATATACTATAGAGATTTCAGAGAACAGAGATAATCATGTCATGATAAAGCTGAACAAAAATGTGAAATCTCTTGAATAGTTCTAGAAATTAACTGACTGGCTTTTTCATGTATTAAGTATTGATACTGCCACTGTTGATGCCATTTTTGTCCAATATTAAAAGTAAAGCATCAGGGGGAAAAAAGCCCAACATTTGTAAATCAAGCTAATAATGTACATCAGGGACATTCTCAAGCTTTAAACTTGCCAATATGTTCACGAGCTATAATTATTCTCTGAATTTGAGCTGTTCCTTCATAAATCTGAAAAGAGAAAATATAGTGTTGAGTCAATTTAAAATAGGACAAAGACAAAATGTTAATGAAAACAGTACAGCTTAAATTATTGTGGGTAATATGTAAACATTATTATAAATGCATAATTGTGATAATAAAACATGAGAGAACTAAAATCTAAACTTAATTGATAGTCCAAAGAGCTACTTTTGATTAAACCTGAACCTAGGGGTACTAGGATGTTTTTCCTTTTCTCATGAATAGGCTACCATGGCACATCACACTCAAAATTCCTACTCTGTATAAAACTAAGCTTAATTATATATTGTCTAATGTGAAAATATGTAACAAGCAGATATGATGAAATCTGCATCTGTATATTTAAAAACTGCATTGCTACATATTCTAGAAACTATTATTAAACAAAACATTGCAACGCCTCAGCAAAGCAAAACACAGGAAGAAAAATAGTCACCAAGAAGTGGTGTTTTTAAGTCAGAAATAGCAATGTTATATTTTTCAACTTGGAAATACATGCAGGTAGTCCTTAGTTAACAAATACCCTTTTTAATGACTATATAACGTTATGATGGCACTTAAGAAGTAACTTTACAATTGGTCCTTGAATTTGCAACTGACATGATATCCCATGGTTACTACTTGAGTGCTTTGCAACTGATGCACATTTTACAATCATTACTGTGTTTCATAGTATATGATTGCTATTTGAGTTGGACTTCTAACAAGGAGAGTTGGTAGATAAGGGCAGTAAAACCACAAGTCGTGGTCATGTGGTGTCTTGCTTAGCAACCACAGTGGTTTACTTTATGACTGAAGCGGAATTGCCATCACAAAACCAACATGGTCATAAGATATTTTGCTTAACAACCACATTGCTTAATGATGGAGTTACCAGTCTCAATTGTAGTCATTAAGTGAGGACTACTTATACTACTGAATAAAATAAGATTCCAGCAACTCTAATGGGACCAGAAGTGAGTACAACAAAGAACATACTGTCTGGATTCCAACAATTACCCTAATTAAATCATGAGCCTCGAGCCAAGCTTCAAAGGAATTCAAAAGATTTATTAGGAGCAACATGTCTGGCATTAACCCGTATGAAGCCAACGCTGAGATAGGTAATTTACTACCACCTATGACCCTGCCCCCCCCCCCCCCCGGTGTGTCATAAATCAGATTGCTCCCTCAGACCTTTCCCCATCTCCTTATGGCAACTCAGAAGCAGGCATAGGAATGATTTATGAGTTGACACATACTTTCAAGCTAAACTCTTTACACTATTTTCCATATAAAAATGGCCTTTTCTTTATTCCGTGGTGGCTCAGTGGTTAGAATGCAGTACTGCAGGCTACTTCTGCTACTGCCTGCTGCCATCAGTTTGGCAGTTCGAATCTTAGCAGACACAAGGTCTTGAGCGTTCCATCATTTCGAGGTCGGTAAAACCAGGACCCAGATTGTTGGGGGCAATATGCTGACTGTAAACTGCTTATAGAGGGCTGTAAAGTACTGTGAAGCAGTAAATAAGTCTAAGTATTATTGCTATTCAGTGCTATGATAAAATCTGTTGTATTACTAAATCTACAATTAGTTAATAGAAAAAAGAAAAACATTCGAATTAAAATGAAAAAAGAGTACATTAAACATGCTGAATAGAAACATGGGAATAGAAAAAAACATGGGAACAGAAGAGCTGCCATGAGTCCTGTTAATACAGATAGTCTACATGCGCATCAACCAAAAAAGGCACATTTTCTTTAGAAGTATATAAATGTAAATTTAGCTTAAATATACTAATGCAGTTGACTAAGGTTACTTACCTGGTATATTTTTGCATCTCTCATTAGTTTCTCCACTGGATATTCACTATTGAATCCATTTCCTCCAAAAATTTGGACAGCATCAGCAGCTACTTGATTTGCAATGTCTCCAGCATATGCCTTTGCTATGGATGCATAATAGGTATTTCTACGACCAACATCTACCTCCCATGCTGCCCTCTGGTAGGCCAGGCGAGACAGTTCCACTTTCAGTGCCATTTCAGCCAACATGAAGGACACTGCTTGGTGCTGGGATAATTTGAGGAAGAGATAAAAATTAGTGTTGAAAACTTGACTTCCAAATATGCAATGGTAGAATGTATTTAAGCAGCATATACAATTCAGTCTTATTTATTATATGTCTACTGCTCTCTGAGCTTGGTTATTTTGTGTAGATATTTCATTCACAACTAGGGTAAGCTAGCACAGATGTTACCTAGTTGGTTATGAAAAGTGCAAGCTCAAGGGCACCAAGAACTCCATAAGAAAGTCCTTAAATGGCTTATTGATCAATATGCATAAAACGTATGTTAGTAAACAGCAAGCACAATACAAATATAAGTGACTCTGTAAAGTCACTCTGTAAGTATATGCTTCCTGCTGGGATATTGCATTGCAATGCTCACTATCTTTAACCATTGGCCCACTGTTGCCGAAGACCAGGAATTTACCTACCACTATTTCAGATGGAACATACAATGTAACATATGGAAGTATCAGCAATAGGTGTACAATACATTGGCCTAGTACTGTGATGGCGAACCTAGGGATGCTGGCATGTGAGAAGTCGCCCCAAAGAGCCCCACTGCACATGTGCACGCGATCCCCGTCAGTCATCTGATTGTTGGGTATCTGCTGTGCATGCGCATGGGGAGACGCACATGTGGGAGACGCATGTGCATGCGCAGAGGTGTGCAGGGAGTGTGCGAATGGGCAGAGATGTGCAGTGTGGGAGGTTGCGCCGCATGTGCAGAGATGCGTGGTACGCACGCAGGGATCATGTGCGCATGTGCAGGGGCGGGGGAGTCACATGCGCATTGCATCATGGGTGCAGGCATGAGAGTGCACGCATGCACGCACACTTTTGGCACGCATCATGGAAAAGGTTAGCCATCACTGGCCTTAAGTAAAAGTGAAGCCATTTTTAAATTTCTTGATTCTCTTCATTTACAGTAAGCGGAGTCTGGTAAACCTAAATGAATATTTTGTTACTGTGTCTGAGTATTTTGTTGTAGTTATTATTTTCTTAATATTTTTTATTATGACATTATTGTGACTTTAATGTGACTTTTGCATTATTGAAAATTTCCAAATACAAAACTGTAAGTACTCTGTGAAATAAATATTTCAAACCTACCTCCTACAAACTACAAAAATTCAAATACGTGCTTCCATTAACAGGAAAAAAGTTCCACTTAATGGTATGATTCTTCCTCGTTAACTCTTTACACCAGGGTTTCCCAACTTTGGCAAACTGCGTAGGCTTTACCTCCCAGAGTTCCCAGTGCTGACTGGAGAATTCTGGGAGTTGAAACCCACATAGCTTAAAATTGCCAAAGTTGAAAAACACTGTTCTATCTCTGCTCAAAATCCACAAGAACAGTGATCCCCAACCTTTCTTATGCCACGGCCCGGTATCCCCTACCTTTTTTATGGAGCGGCCCGGTACCGGCATTAGCTGGGCGCCACCATCTTTTTTTGATGAAAAAGTGCTTCCGGTGAGCTTTCTACCCGGAAAAGCTCACCGGAAGCACTTTTTCATCAAAAAAAGATGGCGGCGCCCAGCAAACCAGCGGCCCGGTAGGACTTGTTCCACGGACCGGTACCGGTCCGCGGACCCCTGCACAAGAAGATACAGGGTGTGGAATGGGGCAAGAAAAAAGGAAGCTAATTGAGCTTAAATTTATTAATGGAATATTTTATTTAACACCATATTACATCATAATTGGAATTCCACATACCTCTGCAATGGCCTTCCCAAAGGTTTTTCTTTCCATGGCATATTTTGTAGCTTCATCCAAAGCTCTCTGTGCTAATCCAACAGCACCAGCTGCTACCTGTAGGTCAGTAATAAATGTTACAAAGCAGAATTTCTACAATTAAAATTCCTCTTTCAAATGTACTTTGAATACTTACTGGAGGCCTTGTTTTATCAAAAGCTCCCATGGCAATTTTAAAGCCAGCTCCTTCACCAATAAGTACATTTTCTTTGGGTACTCTTACATCCTCAAAAACAATCCCTCTCGTATCTGAACAGCGCTGGCCCATGTTAAGCTCCTGAAAAGGAATTTTATACGATAAATAATTACCATTTTTAATTCAACAAAATTAAAAAAAAATGAAGTAGGTTCATCAGAAAGCTAAGTTTAAAACCTGTTCCTCCCACCATGTATTTGTTTTTACAAATATATTAAAAATAAATTCAATAAAGTTTTTTAGAAATCAGATTTGGTGGCAATGTCACAAAGCTCAACAATTTCGGAAAATGATTTATAACAGAATGGAACAAATTCTACTGACTAAGAATAGCCAATACTAAATTTTTAAATTAGCATTAAAATGCTCCACTTCTACCTTTCTTCCAATCTGTACTCCAGGGCTGTCAGCTTCCACAATAAATCCAGTAAAAGCTTTACTTGCAGGAGCTTTTGGATCAGGATTGGAACGTGCCAATAAAAAATACCTAGTTGGAACATAATAAAAGCACAATATTAGCTTTACAAATTTGCTCACAGACCATCAAAAACTATTAAATCTCTTGTAGCTTTCTTATAACGTATAAAATACTGATCACACATTTCTCATGAAAAGATAGATAGTCTTATAGCATAATCCTTTGTTTTTATTCAGACATATGCCCCAATAAATTCAGTGGACCTTAATATGATTTTGATTATAAATTTCAATTCATACATAAAACTAGATATGTCAATACTGTACACTGATTCTGGATGAAGGAATGACTTCACCTCTACAAATTTATCTTCTTTTTAGCCCACGCTCATCTACTCAATTATTCTCTTCTTTTTTAGAATGAGGGAAATAGTACTATTGGCCAAACAAATGGGATAAAAATTGGTATCTAATAATATCACACCATTCAGGTTCAAACACTCTATCGCTTCTTACAGAATGATACAAGTGTGATACAAGAATGAAAATACTCAAATGTTTAAATAAACATTTAAATGTTTATATCTAAATTATGACCACTACTGAAAATATAAAGATATAGTAGGATCCTCTATACATTTCCTTTAAAAAATGTAAGGGATATACTGTATCACTGAGCCTTATTTAAGTATCTTAAATAAATTACTATACCAATTAGCTTTGCCACCATTGGTGATCCACATTTTTTGTCCATTAATAATATATTCATCTCCTTTCCTTTCAGCTCTTGTCTTTATACTTGCTACATCAGAGCCTGCACCAGGTTCTGTTACACAATATGCCTTAAAGAAAAAAATGCAAATAATCAAATTACAAACTATATAGTATTACACATACTAAAATGTGAAGAAATGAACATTAAATCCATTCTACATGAACATAATACAAAATCATCAGTAATTTGGTTAACTTTCATTATAATTTTATTGATAAAGAAATGAATAACTTAATAACTTAAAATTATAAAAACTTTTAAATTGTGGAGAACTACTGAGAATATGAAGAAATCCTAATGAAACATCACTATTTTATTGCTAAATGTTTATATTACTTTGTTAATCACAAAGATTGAAACCAATTCATATTTAAATTCTTGAGAATATGCAGAACCATTTTATGAAATGAACTCTATATAGCTCAACCATTAAAACTGTATGTGTGTGTGTGTGTGTGTGTGTGTGTGTGCATCAGAGGTTGTATTCAGCAGGTTCTGACCAGTTCTGGAGAACCAGTAGTGGAAATTTTGAGTAGTTTGGAGATTGGCAAATACCACCTTTGACTGGCCCCGCCCCCATCTATTCTCAGTCTCCCGAGTCCCAGCTGATCAGCTGGGTCTTCTTTTGTTGCCATGCACAGAACAGAGCTGGAAAGCAGAATAGTGGGGTGGGGAGGGAATGGGGATGACTTTGTAGTAACCTTCCCCCGCCACACCCACCAAGTCATACCATGCCCACGAAGTCATACCATGCCCACCAAGCCACGCCCACAGAACCAGTACTAAAAAAATTTGAATCCCACCACTGGTGTGCATACACACACACTCCAAGACCACAAACTGCCTATTTATTTTATCACTGACTCATCCAATTTTGGACATTACTGACCCTAAATGAACAACTGCCATTTCTACTTTGTGTAAACACAATAGCTGTTCATTTCGGTTAGTACTGTAGTGAATTCTATAGTTATTATAGGAAGGTATGACTTCATGCTCACATAAATATTTTGATTACTATTAAGTTATGTTGTTAAAGTTCAGTGTATTACTCTGAATAATAACATAACATACTATGACATAAGTATAACATAATATACTTTTGTAGATTTCTTTCACGACAGAAATCAAAATACCATTCTATCAATATTGTAAAAACACTTACACACATTAGGGGTTCTTCAGTCAGTCTTCCTAAATATTTTTTCTGCTGTTGCTCATTTCCCCCAATTATGATTGGCATTTGCTATAATAAAAAAAGTTTATTATTTAACATGGGAAGACAAGACATAGCCTAATGCCAATGTTAAAATAATGTAAATAGTAAGTGAAATTAAAGCAAAACACTTACACCTAGGGAATTTGCCTCAACAGCTGTCTGAACTCCTGTACATCCATAAGCCAATTCTTCAGTAATAAGGCAAGCATCAAAAGAGCCAAGGCCAAGACCACCTACAGAAATTGTTTTGGATAACAAATAATATTCCATACAAATAAATGTTATGTCACAAATTTAATTATTTTATGCTCTATTGCACCCTCTCCTGATTTAGTGATGCAAGCCATTCCAGCAACTTAAGCAAAATGTCTGCTTACGGGTAGTGGGGAGGTGGGGGGAAGACATGCAAAATTCCTGGTTGCTGCTGATCATTCAGATAAAATTACTCTGTGTCTGATCCATTTCCATCCCTTTTTTGCCCCTTGTAGAGTGGTGCAGTTGCTTAACCAAGCTATCTTTTCCTGAGCTGCTTTTCCTTGCACCCTTGTGTTAACAAGCTAACTCTACTTTGATTAATTAATTAGAACTCTTATTGCTGCCTGAAACTGACTAGACATTGATCATTTTCACACTGAAGCTTTTTTGTTGTCAGGTCATGAAAGCAGAAAATGTTTTTTATTACTGTTTATGTATTTGTGAACTGTATTTATAAATACAGTTTACAAATAAAGCGGCTGTACATTAACCAACAGATATGCCAAATTTGATATATACTAAATACTGTCCTTCACACACACAAAAGATAACCGATTTAATTCTACGGGTGTTAAAAAGATTTATTATAAATATGCTATCCTTTAGTTGCAAATCTTTCCAACTTAAATACAGTATCAAAGAATATCATGAATACTAGTGTAAATAATTATATTTATAATTAATAATTGTTGGAGAGAAACAGTTTGAGCTCAACAGAATTTCATTCAATGAGGTCAATTCTCATGTTTACATATCATCTGTAACATGTTACATACTGTAACTTATCTCTTCAAGACCTGTTCTTATCTCATATATTCAAAATCAGATTGGATTGTAGTATCTTTTGTGTTGTTATTGCTTATGAATATGTTGCACTGTTTATTTGATTTTATAGCTTATCAAGTACTTTACTTACCACAACTTTCTGGTATGTGTGTATTCATCAAGCCAAGCTCCCATGCCCTTTTAATGAGAGGAACAGGATACTAAAAAGGAAACAGATATGAAAAATAAGATGCAGAGCTCTTCTGCTTAGAGTCTTATTCACTGAAATTTTAAACAAGGTTAAAACTATTTAACTACTACTATTTATTGTATATCTACCTCTCCAGTTACGTCATAATGAGAAGCAACAGGTACAATTTCTTCTCTAGCAAATTTACGAGCTGTGGCTTGAAATTCCTTCTGTTCATCTGTAAGTTCTAGAAAACATAAGATTTCAAGTTCCTAGATATACATAAAAATTAGTAGGCCATAAAATATTTATTTTATTTTATATTTTAAAATCTTATCCTTATTGTTTTAAAAATAACTCAAGGTAACAAACATACATAATGCTCCTTTTTTCTCCTATTTTCCACAAAACAATAGGCTGTAAAGTGAATTGGGCTGAGAGACAGTGATTGGCTCAAAAATCACCCAGCTGGCTTTCATGCCTAAACTAGAACTAGAATTGGAAAAATATGCAGACTAATTTACATGAAATACTTTCATCACTCTCATCCTTAACCATATGCATCCCATATCCCATTTCCTATAGTAAACACTATTTTTCTTCAACCACAAATATCGATCCGAAACTTAGTCTACCAAAAGTCATGTGTAAAACACATATATGGAAATATGTATGCTCAATGTTAAACCTTAAAGCAACATGTATTAGGATTCTGCCCTACATACTGGTAGTAATTGTCCAAAAACCAAGTATAGTTTTGAAGCATTTCAAGTAATTCAGGAAATGTATTACCTTTTATTACAAACCGCTTCCACTCTGTTTAGAAACTGCAAATGCTTCTTAACAAGCTGCAGTAGATAATGCACATAAGGGAAAGCAGGTGAATAAAATGTCCAGAAAGGAATACATTTCAGCCTTACATCTTCATGGTTTATCCTATCTAAATATTCTATCCTTTTCTTCCTAGGCTGATGTATAAAAACCATAAGAAAAAATTGGATGTATCAGAACATGCCTGCATATGCTCATATACTGGATAGCAAATATACTCACATAGTATATAGCAAATCATGACAAAGGAATCAATTTAGATTTATAATACTAGAAGCTGCCAATTCAGGGCCTTCAGGTGAAGCATTTATGGAGTAGTTTTACATACCAAAGCTATAACCAGCGGCAGATTTGCTTTTTGGTGATGTTGCAGTAGCATGACTGGATTGTGCTCTCAAGCCACTAGCAACAATGCTTCGCCCAACCTGAAATTTAATGTAGAAAAAGAAGTGTATTAATATACAGAAATGTTAATAAGAATGAAGGAACTCAACAGAAAGTCAAGTGCAATATTTTATACCAGATATCTTTTTATATCTTTTATCTTATATCATACAACATACAGTGTAATGACTGCAACAGCTTCTATGTAGGCCAGACAGGCAGAAGATTAGCATTGAGCATTCTTGAACACCAACTGGCAAATAGAAGACGTGATGCAAAGTCCTTAATCTCATAACACATGGGCAGAAATAGACCAACTAAATCCAAAAATGCCAGAGGATTCTTGGAAACTTGGCATATAAATCAGCTGTCCATACAGGTATTTCTCAACTTATGACCATTTGTTTAGAGACCCTTCAAAGTTATGACAATGCTCAGAAAAGTAACTTACGACCAATCCTTGAACTTACTGATTGTCACAGTGTCCCTGCAATCACATGATCATGATTTGGATGCTTGGCAACCGGAGTGTATTTATGATGGTTGCAGCATCCTGAGGACACATGATCATCATTTGCAACCTTTGCAGCTGGCTTTCAAGAAGGAAAAACAATGTGGGAAGCCAGATTCATATAACTGCATAATTTGCTTAATAACTGACTCACTTAATGATCACAGTGCTTAGTGAAAGAAGTTCCAGTCTCAATTGTGGTTGTAAGTTGAGGAATTTCTGTAGACATAAAGCACATTTACATACCATTCTAAAGAGACAATTAAAAAAGGCTAAGAAGGAAACAAAAAGAACACATCTTCTCCAGCAACCAATATCCAGATAAGCAAAATTTATACCAAACAAGCAGAAAACAGTAGTTCTAAGGAACTACCAAGGAGAAAACTACACCCACATCAACACCTAGAGGGCAAGCTAGTGAATATAAACAAGAAACAAACACCACACCCACTAGCACTAATGTTATCTCATGTTATTCTTCATTGCAGGCAGTAATGAAATATTTGCAAGCAAACAAGCTCAGACAGCACCAAGGACTCCAAATGCTGGTTCTTTGTTAATTTTATTTGATGGCTCACAGTAGTTGTAGTTACTTTGTTTGTAACTGTGACCCAGCAAAGTCAAAGTCAATGTTTTACTAATTATCATTTCACAGTACATGCATATTCTATGTACTCCGCTTAGTAATTTAAAGTCAATAGACAGGACTTAAAAAAAACAAATATGAAAACAATTTTCTGTGCTGATGCTAAAAAGGGGAGGAAGAAAGTATTAAACAATTTGCAGTTATGCAATAGTTAACACAAATAAGAAATGGATTTTTTAAAAAAACAGAAAAATTAAGCAAAATTGTTAAGAATCCTTAACAGAATCCTTAAAAGAGGGAAATTTATGTAAAAGGTTCCTCAAAAATTCAGTTATGATAAATCAACATAAGAAAACTTATTTTAGGGTTATAAGAATCACTCAACAGTGAGATGGAAGGCTTAGAAATTAAATAAATAAAAAATAAATTTCTTTTTATTAAGAATCAAATGGAAAGGAAAAAATGCAATCTAAGATATAGGAGCCATGGCGGCGCAGTGGTTAGAATGCAGTATTGCAGGCTGACTCTACCCACTACCAGGAGTTCTATCCTGATCAGCTAAAGGTTGACTCAGCCTTCCATTCTTCCGAGATCAATAAAATAAAATTGTTGCACGCAATATGCTGACTCTGTAAAATGCTTAGTGTGTTGTAAAGTATTATGAAGCGGTATATAAGTCTAAGTGCTATTGTTCTAAGTGCTGTATAAGTAAAGCAAAAGCAATAATTTAATGAGCAAAAAAAAAAAAAGTACATTAACTCACAGCTTGCACGAAAGACTGCAGAATGCCATAATTTGAGATGAACAAGATGATTTGGGGAAAATAATTATCCCTTATATATTAAATATGAAATAATAACTTTAGACATGGTATCTGAAATGTTAATAAGAATGAAGGAACTCAACAGAAAGTCAAGTGCAATATTTTATACCAGATATCTTTTTATATCAGCAACCAAAGACTCACTTTTGCATTTTTGGCAGCTTGGGAGTAACCAATTTCATCCCCTAAGACTACAAAATCTTTCCCAAAATTGGCCTTGATTCAATTACTTTTCTCTGGATAAAGCAGAAATGTGCAAGACTACATGAACTCCAATTCACATCTTGTCTTTGGTATATAAACTGTAAATTAAATGGCAAGTGAACGACAAACCCAAACTACTCAAGTTAATGCACAATTAGCTCAATAAAAAATGAATACCCATAAGCAAAAAGACCTTAAGAAGAACAAAAATAGATCTTACACAAGACGGCTGCAAGTAACTCCCTGGAATATCTATTCTAAAGTATAATATTAACTAGAAAGCAAGCACTTTTTGTTAATTACTTGTTACTGGTTACAAAAATCATTTATATTTGTAATTTGATATTTTGTATAGCAGACCTTTGATATCTTGTTTTGCAAGATTTTGAATGATTTCTTGTGGCACATTTTTTTTAAAAAGCAGATTGCTCATAAGTGTCACCTTATTCTATTACATCACAATAGTTTTTGTTTGGACCATTCTATTGTGGCTATATTCCAATTTTCCTTATGGTAAATAACTTATTTTTCAAATTCATAGGAATTGTTTCGTTTCCTAAATCTTTGCACATTTGGACAGATGTAAATAAAAATTACCTGATCCCTGGTAAAAAATACCCTATCCTGAACTAATTTCTTGGAACTTCCTAGGAGAAAATTAACAGGAATATTGACAGTAATATTGCAACAGGAATATTGACAGTAATATACTAATTACATTATGTTATTCTTTTACAACCTTGATATATTAATTGTTCAGAACATTTTACTTGACATTTAACACACATATCATCATGCCAAATGACTAATGATTCTTCATATTATATTAGCATCAGTACTCTGCCATAAACACTACGGACTTTCAAATTATATAGATAAGTATTGCAAACAATTTCTAGAGAAATATTTTTATATAAGTTTGCAATCATTTTGAACATAATATGTTCAAAATTTGTTATATGTCATTTATATTTTCAAACACCACAAAGGCTCCCAGACCCTATAATAATCTGTATGAAACGATAAAATAATGCAGCATTGCTATGTACAAGACGAACCAACAAGCGCACCAACGTGCCTACCGTCCCTGTCCTATTGTTTCTCTTATTCTTCTTTTATTTTTCTTATATGTACCCATTTCATGTATTCACAACTATGTATACACTTATACTTATTATCTTGTAAACAATTGGCAAATCAAATAAATAAATAAAATAAATAAATAAATAAACTTTGTACTGCATACCACAAATGCCAACTGACAAACTTAAAAATTAACTTTTAAAATAAGATCCTAAAAACACTTTGAATTTTACCAGGGATTAGGTAATTTCTTGATGTAGAAATATATATTTTAGATAAAGCAAAACATTTTTATAATTCTGAGATTATGATAGTTTCTGACGTGGATTATTTTCACATATACTAAGGTAGGAAGTAACAGAAGCCCAGTTGCGATGGCAAACAATACTATTCTATTTGTATGCTTACCTGCTTCGGAAAGTTCATCTTATATGTTTAAGTTTAAAAGAAAGTGGGGAAGTTTGGGGGGGAAAAAACAAGCAAAAACAATGGGAGTGATTTTGGAGTCACTTTACTCGGGCGGACAGAAGTGGGGGAGGGGGAATAGATAGGCGACCTTTGACATACTTTGATACGATATCCCGTAATTTTGCTAGTAGTAGTAGTAGTAGTAGTAATAGTAATCGTAATCGTAATAATAAAAAAAAGACACCCAGATCTCCCCTCCTCCACCGCAACTGACTACCAATGAGTGTCATCTTGCGGGCTGCAGTCGAGATTTGGCGACCCTCCTCTTCAATCCCTGGACTTTTCCTCAAGCAGGACAACCCAAGCCTGTTCCACCCCAACCTAACCCGGGCGGCTGTCTCCAAATCCTGCAAACGGAGACACCCTCCAGCAAGGCAGAGAAGAATCAGAAAGATTGAGCCGAAGTCGCCCTCCCCACGCCCCCCCCCCCTCCCCAATGGCTTCCGCGTCCCCTAAGAGCCCGCGTCCTCTCTTGGCAGCTTTCTTCTTACCCGACAGGCTCTCAGAGCAGCCATGACAAAGCTTTTCTTTTACTCTTCCTCACCGAACCTGCTGTGACTGAGCTTCACACCGATTTACATCGAGCCTAGACCCGCCTCCAGCGAGCGAAGCGGGCGGTGGGGGGGGGGGGGGGGGGGGGGGGGGGGGGGGGCGCCCCCGGGGGGGGCGGGGGGGGGGGGGGGGGGGGGAGAGAGAGAGAGGTTGGCCCCTCCGGAGGCCCCGGGCGGCTGAAGCGGAGAACAGAAGAGGGAGGAGGAGGAGGAAGGCTGGTGGCTGGCTGGTGTGGCGGCTGCTGTTGAAGTGCTTGCCTTGGTTATCAACTTCGAGGGGAGTTGGTCTCGTTTTTAGCGCCGCGGGGTGCGCGGATCCAAGCGTGAGGGGTTAGTTTGTGGTTCGGTGCCCTGGGCAGACCAAATCATGAGAAAGCGCGTCCAGAAACCCGGCTTAGTCTTGTTTTTGGTTTTATGGCAGCACCGGGATAAATTCGACTTGCGATCGGAAGGAAGGAAGGAGGGAAGGAAGATGGGGATGCATTTGAACGGTGATAGGAAGGAAGGAAGGAAGAAAAGAAAGGAAGGAAGGGATGCATTTGAACGGTGATAGGAAGGAAGAAAGGAAGAAGGAAGGAAGAATGGATTCAATGCATTAGGAGTGTGAAGTTCTTGCATCTGGATTGACTACACTTTATGCCAATCCACAATAATTTATTTTGCATGGGCTACCATCCCTGCTGTTTTTCTGAAGCAGCCCAAAGGCTTCCTTCTGTAACCTGGCTAAGGTAGAATAAAATATAGTTTGAGTTGGGATTTATTGTGGGAACCTAGTCAATAAATTGTGTCTTAGGCCACAAAGAATTGACCCTAGTTAGTTGGTTCTTACTTGATAAACCATGATTAAACCATAGCTTAGTGGGATGTTGAAATCTTGTAGTACCTAGAAGGAGAACATAGGCACTTACTATTTTATTTATTTATTTAATTACTTTAAATAGCCACCTCTGTCACTTGCATGTGACTCTTTCACAGTTAAAAAGCACTAAATGCTCTGTAATGTTTCCATTAAACAGTAAACCACAATTACAAAAGTCAGAGAATAGTGAAAACTAGCCATTTAAAGGGCTCCATGCTTCCATGGGATCCCCAGGCCTAATAGCTAAGCCATGTTGTGACCAGCCTCATGGGGTAGTGGGTGGGGAATGATGTACCAAGGCAGAAAAAAGTCTTGATTTGGGCATGAAGCTCTTTGCTGATGTGATCTGCCATATACCACTCCTGCTGGACCAGATGAGACAGATGGATGTAGTTGGGGTAAGCCAATCTTGCAAATGTAACAAATATAACTGTTCATCAATTATGGGCAACTTTGTGCAGATGCTAAAATGATACATCTCGAAGTAGATATGTTCCTAATATGACAGATTTTGTCATAATGCCATGATTGTACAACATGCTTACCAATGCTTAACTTAGTCATGATTTATTGTTTTCTATATTATATCATAAACAACTTTAGCATGACCTTGAGTTGTTACTCAACTAGTTACTGACAGACAATCTTAAGATCTGGAAGCAGCTAAGTAAGTACAACAACCAATGTTTCTTGAGGCAGTTCCACACCCTTATTCAAAGTTATACAATGGAGAAAAAGCAATAAATCTGTGTCTTGAAAACTTCTTGGTCTGCAAAGTTATTGCTTCTTTATCTGTCTTGGCTTTATCAAAATCTAAGGGCATGGAAAGGGTTGTGACACATAACTAACAGGAATATTTATTGTGGATTTATTCTTCTCTGTGTCAGAGCAACAAAGGAATGGAATGAAAGATGCCCAAAGAAATTGTCGGTTATTGAAAGTAATATTAGCTAGAAATTAGCCAATGGGGGAAATAAGAAGAAATTTGATAATTTTTTCTTTCTTAAAAAGGAAAAAAAAAAATTAAGATATTTCAGTAACACATCCAGTTTATAGACAGTTGTGATTTTCTCTTAGTACACAATATGTTAATATGTTGCTTTTTTAAAAAAATGCTTCTTGAATAAGAAAAATGTAATGTTATCCCTTTTTCCTTTCATTAAGTTATTTTGGCAATATTCATAGTAACTATTAAAATATAAGTTAAGTATAAACAGTTTTCAGGATCTCAATATCATGTACAGTATATATGAATTCTGTAGAATAGTTATCCATTGAATTCAGTAAGTCTTATTTCCAAGTATGTATAGAATCCAGTTTCAAAATGTAATATAGTTTGCTTCATTGAAAATATTATCTCTACCAATTAGATTTTAAATAAATATTTTTTTAAACTATACCTCTTATCTGTATCTATTTTTTCCTTAAACTGGTAATAAAAATAATTTATCCTTTTAATATTTCCAGTTATTCATTTGACATTATTTTTCTTTTCCATTACTAATTTCTGCATTTTAGATTCTATGTAGAAATGCATGTGGATATCAGAATATTTAATATCTTCTTGTACTTTCATTTTGGTTATGAATAACTTAAAACCTGACACACATATTTGACCATTTATTATTTAACTCTTTCATGAAATGTTTAAATTGTATTTCTGTGGAAAGAATTGTAAATATCAGTGACACAAGCCTCTCTTTCAAGTCAAGTTAAAGGGGAGAAGCATCTACTACTTGAAAAATTATGTGTCTCAGGATTGGACAAGGATCCACAAAATCCTCCACTCTAACTTTCACACATCCTTCTCCCCTCATTGATACTGAACTTGAGGCAGTAACCAATCTTTTGTGGGTATTTCTGCTTCCTTTCCCTTCTACTAGCCTTTTTGTTTCAAATTTCACTTTTCCTTTTATTTATTATGTTAAATAATTTCAGTATCAAGCAACTCTGGGGTTTTTTCTATATTGCAAGTGTTGCTCCTCAACAGATGTTTTCTGTTCATGAATCCTTAATCTTCATCTCTTTCCCAATTTGCTTTGAGTGCGGAACCATGGAATAAGCATCCTGGTGATTAACAAGTCCACAGTCAAAACAAGCCCATCAAATATTGTCATGTATTGAGAGGGTTGTCTGGTAAAGCAGAAAGGTGTTGCCAGATTCTGAAAGAACTTTTCTGCGTTGCCATGCATCTGTTTGTTTTGATCTGTGCTTAACAAGTTAAACTTGCAGTTAAAACAAGTTTACTGACCAGCTTTTAAGTAGGCATGGTAAAATGAGAGAATCCCCAAAAGGGGAAACCATGCCAAAAGGAGGCAATATTCAACATCTTAAGGGGGAAATGTGCCCACGCTAATTGGTGAAGAATACAGGTAGTCATCGATTTATGACCACAATTGAGACATTTGTTAAGTGAGTTTTGTTCCACTTTCTTGCCACAGTTGTTAAGTGCATCACAGTTTATTTAGTTACATGGTTGTTAAGTGAATCTGGCTTCCCTATTGACTTTGCTTGTCAGAAGGTTGCAAAAGGTGATCACAAGAACTTGGGACACTGCAACCACCATAAGTACATGCCAGTTGCTAATTATCTGAATTTTGATCATGAGATCATGAGGATGCTGCAATAGTCATAGGTGTGAAAAACAGCCATAAGTCACTTTTTTTAGTGCCTACCCTTTCTGAGCACCTTCTCAATATTTCCAATAAGGGTTTTTTGCTCAGAAAAAGTGTACCCACTCCTGAAATATCATCACCAAGTGGAAACTGTTGCTTTAAATCTAGGTTGCAACAGCTCTCACATTGCTAAACCTGATGCTGCAACTGAACTGACCCCAGAAGGCAAAGAAGCAATATCCAAACTGTTACCCACAGCTGTAGGAACTGCTGCGAATATGCCAGAGGAAACGTTGATTGACTTATTCAGTGCATTGTCAGAACCTGAGCAAGTTAACATCATTCAAAGATTGGATGACCTAAAAGAGGCATTGACAACAACTCAATCTACAGCAAAGCCTCTATTTAATTTGGCTCCACTAACCACACAATCTTGTGACAATGTATTTAATCAACAAACTGCCTTTACCTTTACAGTAAAAGAAGGTACTGTCACACAGGCTGACTGTGGGGTAACTGCACTGACTGACCCAACCTCTGAGAAACAACTGAAAGACAAAGGGCTTCATCACACAGTGCTCCCTAAGCTGACAAACACTAAGGAGATAATCCAGCTTCCTCCTTCAATTGATTTAGAAGCTCCCATAACAGCTTTCCACAAGATGAATCCTCAGCTATGCCACTCCAAAAATGGACATAAATCTACATTTATAGATTTAAAACAGAGTACCTGCCCATGGGAAAAAAAATCATTCTTGGAGCAAGAGCAAAGGCATACTGGCAACTGAGATATAGAGGAGCAACAACAAGCTCTGCAACCCATGAGGAGAAATATCGAACCTCACAACAATTGTGTTTATATGGGAAGCTTAGATGATATTGATCTGGCTCCAATGTCAAGTTGACATCTGACATCTTTATCATCCAGCCAATTAACCAAGCCAGATCATCTTGCTTCTGAGAACCCCATACAGTTGGTGACCTGGAACATAACGGGCTGGAAAGGGATAGTTGATAGTGGACTAATGAGTTTTTTTCTCTAGACTTGATGTAATAGCCCTTCAAGAAACTTGGCGAACCGAAGTGGACGAACCAGTACAACTGCCAAGCTTTCAGGGATGGGCCTCCCCAGCCCAAAAAAACAAAGAACAAAGGGAGACCCTCTGGTGGACTATGCATTCTTATAAAGCAAGAGTTGCAATGGCAGGAAAAGAAATTATATAAACAAGATAAGTATCCTGTCACATTTGAATATGACCAGTTTGAATTAATATTGGTAAATGTGTATATTCCCCCAAGCACATCCCAGCACTATAATTCCGAATATTGGATGTGCTTGGAAGTTATCCTAGAAGATATAGCAATACTGTATCATCAGTCCATAGTGGTTTTATTAGGAGATCTGAATGCTAGACTGGGTCCCTCTTTGTATGAGCTGTCCCAGAAGAAGGGAATCCCAGGGGAGTTCTTTGAGAACCATCCTCAGTGGCTCTCGAGAGATTGTAAAAGTAATGCCACTGGTTTGCTCCTAGTCTCCTTAATTTTTAAGGGTAATCTCCAAATTTTGGGAGGTAAGGATAAGAATTACATATA